CCACGTGAACTGGCGCTCCAGCGAGGCCAAGCCCGAGTTCTTCTACAGCGAGGAGCAGCGGCTGGCCCTGGAGGCCCTGGCGGCCCGCGGCCGGGACGCCTTCTACGAGGTGCTGAAGCGGGAGAACATCCGCGACTTCCTCTCCGAGCTGGAGCTCAGGCGCATCCTGGAGACCATCGAGGTGTACGACCCGGGCTCCGAGGACCCGCGCGCCACGGGCCGCCCCCGGGGGCCCGAGGACACGGATGGAGGGGTCGGGGAGGGTGGTGGTGACGGCGACGGCGACGGCGACGGCGAGGAAGCCCACGTGCCAGGCGGGGCCCCCACGGAGGCCGAGCCGCTGCCCTCGCTGGAGTACTGGCCCCAGAAGTCCGACCGCTCCATCCCTCAGCTGGACCTGGGCTGGCCGGACACCATCGCCTACCGCGGCGTGACCCGGGCCAGTGTCTACATGCAGCCCCCCATTGACGGGCAGGCCCACATCAAAGAGGTGGTGCGCAAGATGATCAGCCAGGCCCAGAAGGTGAGGCGGCGTCCCCCAGAGTCCCTGCAGACGAGGCCGGGCCAGGGGCCCCACCCGGCCCCCCACCCGGCCGCTCCTCGGTACATACTCAGAGCCCAACACGGAGACCCCAACACGGTCCCCTGGCGCTCTCCTTGGTGCTTCCCTGGTTGCCTCATGGGGGTAGGCTTCCTCCCCACCTTCGTGGGGTTCCTCAGTGTCTCTGTGGAGGGGCGAGGGTGTCTGGGTCCCCTCGCAGGTGACAGTGGGCTCCCCGATCTCAAAGGGCCTTTGTGCATGGTTGGGGATATTTCTGGTTTCCCCAGACCTGGTGATCAGGTTCTCCAGAAGAAGGTGCTGCCGTGGGGTGGAGTAGGAAGGAATCCTGGGGCTTTCTCTCTTACTCTTCCTTAGGGTGACTCTGATTCACCCTGAGACACTGGAGACTCTTGCACACACCATGAACTCTCCTGGGGAGAACTTTTGTTGGGGGGGTGGGAGGATGGGCATGGAGATTGAGATGCAGCCTCAATGCCTTTGAGGCTAGCCTGTAGGTCTGAGTTCAAATCTGCCTGTTTCCTGGCTGTGCTGAGCAACCAGGAGTAAGTTACACACACTCTCTGAGCCTCTGTGAGCTTTCCAGGCCACGATACATGGGTGGGGACCAGGTGGTCCTCACCGGTGGATGTGGAGTGAGTCCACCTGAGGGTCGAATTTTGCCAGCGGAAGGGACCTCAAGGCTTGTCTGGAGCTCCCCTTCCCGATCGCCGTTGGGTTGTGCAGTGCCCTGGCTGTGAGCGACCATTCTGCTTGCCACTTGCAGACACAGCCAGGCCATTGCTGGACGGCCGTGACCCTGAGCAGGTGCTTCTTTCTGCTGGGCAGAAGTGTCTTTCCCTCATTTCAAGGCACATCCTGACATGACAGATAAAGCATTCCTAGCGAGCTGTGTTGAGATGGATTCTGAAGGCGGGGCTGGCATCAGGTGATGGGACAAGGTATGCCTAGCTGGGCTTAACCCATTCACCCTTCCAATTCCAGAGCAGGACAGCGAATTGCACAGGGCCAGAATGGTGGCTTTGGGGACCATGCTGGCTGACAGATGGGGCCTGCAGGAGCTCGTGGGCAGAGAAGCTAGAAGTGGGTCAGGAACTGACAAGGTGGCCCTGGCTCAGGTTTCCAGGACGGTGGAGTCGAGTCCCTGCCCCAACCAGGGGGCCGGTGGAGCCAGCCAGCCATGTAAGGGAACCTGGCCCTCAGCCTGCTTATTCCCACCCTGCTGGCCACCCCCAGGCAGCTTCGAGGCCTCGGGTTTCTGCTCTATAAAGAGGGGTGGTGAGGATAAAAGCTGCCTCTTTGGCTATTGTAAGGGTGGCATATCCGGTGACCAGAGTGAGGAAGGAGTTGGAGGAAGAGGTGGAGGAGGGGGAGAAGGAAGGCACCATCATAGTTTTCAGGCTGAGTAACCCACCCCACACCTGCCATGCAGGGGGAGGCGGCTCTGCCTGGAGGCCGTGGAACCCAGTTCCTGAGAGGGTGTGCTGGGTTCCACAGCCTTCACTCTCATTTTTAAAATGGGGAAACAAAGCTCTGGGTCAAGGGGCTTGACCTGCCGTGCCAGGCTTGCTCTCCTCCTGTCCCCACTCACCACCAGCAATAGGAAGGAGGCAGATGGGAACAGCCAGAAGGGTTAATCTCCCACAGACAGACAGACAGACAGACAGATGGCCCAGCCCAGTGATGGGACCAGATAGTGGCGCCTGGGGCCAGGCAGGCACTCAGGGCTTCCTCTGCTGACCCCCGCTTTCTCTCCACTTCTCTGCCACAACTTAGACCCAGCCACTCCACACAGGCCCCCCGGAGTTTTATTTACTTCCCACAAAAGCACCACAAGGTTTTGGGTGTCCTGTCTAAGGTAGCACAGCCAGGGAAGAGTTGACCTCAGGTTTGAGCACTGGTCTGTCTGTGTAGCACCACAGTGGGGAATTTCCCCTCAGCCCCTGACAGGTAGGTGGTGCTCTCTGCTTTTTTTTTTTTTCAGTTGGATTCTCACTCTGTAGCCCAGGCTGGAGGGCAGTGGCACACTCCCAGCCATCACAGCCTCTACCTGCTGGGCTCAGGCAATCCTTCTGCCTCAGCCTTCCAAGTAGCTGGAACTCCTGCCCTCTACTCTTAAGAAAGGGTGCTCTCTGCCAGGCTGGAATGACTGGAACCTGTAATCTCAGCACTTTGGGGGCAGAGGCGAGAGGATTATCTGAGCCCAGAGGTTCAAGACCAGCCTGGGCCACATGGTAAGACCTCGTCTTTACAATAAATCAAAAAAATTAGCCAGGCATGGTGGCTTGCACCTGTGGTTCCAGATACTTGGAAGGAGTGAGGTGGAAGGATTGCCTGAGCCCAGCAGGTTGAGGCTGCAATGGCCATGAGTATGCCACTGCCCTCCACCCTGGGCGACAGAGTGAGACTCCAACTCAGAAAAAAAAAAGGGTGCTCCCTGCTGAGACTGCCCACCTTCTTGGACAGCAGGTGGTTCTTTTTTTTTTTTTTTTTTTTT